AGGCTCGCCATTTGTCCAAACCTTAAAAAGTTAAATAAAATGTTTCGCCTTGATCGCGTTGATTTTAAAAATTTTTTTTGTTGAAGGTATTACCCATTTTCTTCCATAGAAAAAAATTGTCAAAAATCAACTTAAAACTTAAAAATTTTTCCTAGGAATTCTTACTAAAATGTTTTAAATTTAGACGAAACTTTGCAAAATATTTATAATTTTTGCACAAACTTTAAAACTTGGAATTAAATGGTTAGAAAAATAAATTTAAATAAACAAAAGAAAAATAGCCAAAACTTGATAAAAATGACGCGTCCCTATTTATTTTTACACCACTATACATGTGGATATTTGAATTTTATCTCAGTAACAAAGCCTTTAATATTTTTATTATGAATTTTTCATATTTTACAAGCTTTTATTTAACTTGCTCATCCCGCGGAAATTTCCAATCGAGTTTAAACAAACTTCCCGACAAGCTAGAGACTTGAAATTTTCAGGATAGTTCCAATTACGATGACAATCCTTACTAATATTATAAATCCGAGCTTTCACACTTTAACTACTCAACCGATTATTAAGAAATTTTGTACACTCCTGTCATTTAGTCCAACTTAAAATATAGGATACGTTTCATCTCGATTAGAAAAGGGGGCGTGGCACCTTCCATACATACGGAATTGTTCGTACTGCATTTCTCAGGAAATATTTTTGGTACATTACTGGAAATGGGTATGGAGATATATAAAATCATTATCTACTCATGGATGAGGGCTGCCACCATTTACAAAAAATCAAATTCAACTTCAACTAAGGGAGTTATTTATTTGAAAATTATATTTAAAAAAATGGATGTCAAAAGGGCTTAAAAAAGCTGTAGTTGAAATGTATCTTGAAAAGGGTTGCCACCTGTTTGAAAAGTCAAATTTAAATTAATCTGAAGAATTCAAATATGGTTGTCAAAAGAAATATTGATAAGAAACTTTTAGTTTGAAAGTTTTGAATGATATTGAAGATTTCACAAGGGTTGCCACATTTTTTTAAATTAAATCCAATTAGTTTAAATAAAATATTATAATACTAGCAGACCCGGCAAACTTCATTCCGCCTAAACTTAATTTTATCCTTGAAACATTTTGGTCCAACATTTTCACCAACAATTCACGTATACGATTTCCATTGGCATGCTCATCGGCTAATATTATGGTTTGGTGGTCTTTTGCTGCCTTAAATGACCTAACGAAAGTGTTATGTCCGCGAAGAAGTTCTTGAAATCCTCTAATTGTGCAGCATTTCATAGAACGGTTAATCTCACAACGAAATAAATTTGAAGAACAATTCCTCTTTACTCCCTCTATAGTGAATCTGCCCCAGAAACTTTATAGTATAGTTGGCGGCAACTTCAAAATGGAAGCGTATAATTGTTCTACAGAAATCCAATATACATAGACTTTGTATGGGAGGTGCCACGCCAAATAAAAAAATAGCGATTTTTTTTAGCCTATAACCATCATTGGGACGTCTGAAGCAGGTGTCCGGAATTTAAAAAAAAACGGTAGGGCCGTTCTCGAGCTTTGCGAACACAAAAAAAACGGCTTTCAAAATATATATTAGTATAGATTGGTATGAATCGAAATGGTTTTGAATATGTATCACAATATGTATGAGTGTCACACGAAACAGGTTTTAAAAGGTTGCCAACTGTCTAGAAGGTTAAATTCAAACTATTAATAATTTAAATGAATTACTACAATATGGGTATCAAAACTACATGTTTAAAATCTCAAACTGAGTTCAGGGGATAAGTTGATAGAAAAAGTATAAGTGAGAAAGAAAGTTTTAGGCAGTTTGAAATTATTTTGAAGATGGTTAAACAAATTTTAAACCTCCTGTTTTTTAATTGAGTTTTCTTGAAATAAATTTTACTCAATGTAGCACGTAGAAATTTCATACACTCAGCGAAGCGGGTAAGGGCGATCTAGTGCAATATAAAATATAAATTAATTCCCTAGATGATCCAGGGATGTTGATACAAAGGCGGTCAAAACACAGTAAAAGTTATGACTAACAGAGCGTAATTTGCCAAAGAACGTAAACACGCTATACATTTGTTAAAGCTGCCTGTTTGAGGTAATGTAAATAAAAAACACAAGACGTGTGAATTCTATGTCTTCTTTATTTCATTGCCTTGAGTGAACTAAAACTAATTACATAGTTACATTAAAATTGAAGTGCTAAGTACATATGTAGAGCTTAAATGTGAGAAAGCACACAAAGGAGCTTCAATGCTCAATTGTCTTTAAGCTAGAGTTTGAGTGTAAAACAACTAAATGAGGCTTGTAGAATAATGTAATACACGAATAATTCTACGGACTAAATGTTGTTGGTAATAGCATCTTCCACAATGGGTAGAGGAGCAAGCCTGTGAATTGCGCGTCGTTAATACCCTTTTTTGTTTGTAAGTCTACTACTCGAATCTTTCCATCAGCACCCGGGCTTGCCGCTAGGATACGAGCTAGAAGCCATTGCTGTGGTGGCAAATTATCTTCATGGACAATAACAACCTGTCCGAACTTAACATTTGGTTCTTATTTATACCACTTCATACGCAGCTGTAGTTCTCGCAAGTAACCGCGCATCCCTTGTTGCCAAAATTTATTTTTTAAGAAAGTAATTTGCTGAAATTTTGTCATGGAAGCTATATTCTTGTTGATATCTGTTTGCTCAGATGGTAAAGCCTTAAGTGATTTACCAATTAACAAGTGACCTGGTGTAAGTGTGTGAGCGCGATTATTATTTTCAGAAAATATATTATGGCCCGTAGTCATAGTCCCAAATTTAAGATATAGTTTTCAGTTTACAATGGATTTTTAAGTTGTGTCAACCATAGACATCTTAGAAACAGCTTTTTGTTTATATGAGAGAAAAATTTACTCGGGAATCTAAAGAAATATAAGTACTTTAATTAGTTCACCCTGTGTCCGCTGCAGGATCGCGGATTTAGCAAGCGGGAAGTCGTAGGTTCGAATCCCACTGCCAGGAAACAGTTTTTTTTTACATCTGTTTTTTTTTTGTTTTGTTCTTTTAAATATCACTTACAATTTTTTTATGTAATTAAAGTAGCTCTGACCGTTTTAATTAAAATTAAACTCAATAAAAAAAAAATAAATAAAAATTAAAAAATAATAAAAATTTGAGTTGGGACCGAGCTTGGAGTGGGGACCGAGCCTAGGTGCCACGGCATTTACTACTTCAACTGCAAATCGAAGCTTAGAATCTTATTTTACGACTTTAAAATCACGTGCCCGTCATTTTAAAAAGCTAAAATGGATCGGTGAAACTTTTATCTAACTTCTTTATGACTGCAGGCCTATGTCTTAAATTTTTATTTTATGTTAAGATATCTTATACAACTCTGAGTGGGAACAGAAGTGAAAGGTATGAATCGGCTGTCAATAGGTGTGAGAAAATGTCAAGCTGGACTTCCGCTAAGAGAGATTCTGCCTTTTTAATCCCGATCGTCAACGTGACAAGTTGTGCTAAGCAAAAACGTCTTAAGTTTTAGCGCCAGAAAGTGTATTTGGTTCGGCAAATAAAATTAAATTAAAAGTATACCGAAATTCCGGATATCGGTACGAATAGTAAACATTTGTGATGTTGGAGTAGCGAATCCTTTGG